TCTCTGCAGTGCATTTTAGTCGGCAGGGCAGATGGAGAGAGCCTGGCAGGCTCCAGCTTGTCTTCACTCTCTGCTGTACGCCCAGTTCCTCCTGGCCGCTGCCCTGTCGACCAGCCATCGTCCCCGCCAGCGCCACGCATTTGGCTGAAGAACCACAGAGGCACAAGCTTCACAGATGCCTCTTACGAGCTTCTCCTTCACAGCAGCAGAAGGGGCTAAAAGGTCATTATGTCTATTTCTATCTCTATCTCTCTCTCTTCTACATCTATATCTATATCTATATCTATATCTATATTTATATCTATATCTATATATCTATATATATATCTATATATGCTTTCACGAGAGCGGATGGTGTCTGGGGCACTATAACAAATGATGTTTTAAAAACCTACTATATATCTATATCTATATATTGATATATCGATAAGATATAGATATATAGTAGGTTTTTAGAACATCGTTTGTTATCGTGCCGCAGACACCATCCGCTCTCGTGAAAGCGTACAGATTTGATACACATGTCCTCTATGAAAACACTTTCTTAAGGACTGTTTTCAGTTATCACTGCTCATTATTTCAGAAAGTTAAAAGTGATCAACTGAACGAGGGCCAGAGGACCACCCCGTGCAGATGAAGTTGCCCCCCGTGTGAGGACCCACTAGCCGGGGAGGGAGGAGCAGGTGAGTCAGGCGAGCACTCTGCTTCTGGACGTGGAGGACAGAGGTGAGCAGTGATGTCACATTCACAGGACACCAGCCCGAACAAGCCGCGCCGCGGGCGGAGGACCTGAGGGAGCGTCCCTCCTCTCAGATGTGACTGGGTAGGACTCAGGAGTCTATGAGAGCAGGACACTGAGAGGCGCCTAATCCTAAGGGCAGCGGCGGGCTGAGCAGGGCGGAGGGGACCGCCAGACCCTAACCTGGACGGAGAGGCTGTGCGCTCAGCACCGAGGGTCTGACTCCGCGTCCGGTGGCACCACGGGGGCGGGATGCCGACATGGTGTTTCGATCTGACCTGAGACTCAGGGCAAAAACCGGCAAAGCCATGGAATAAAAAATAGGAATCAAATAATACCCTACACACAGATTTCCTTTACGTTACTCTGAAGTATCAGTTTGAAACAGATGTGTATTGACTAGTTTTGTCTGGTTTGGGCTTTTAAAATAATGACATATTTCTGGTGTAAAAGAGCGAGAAAAAAAATAAAAGAATAAACGCACGATCTTTTCCTCAGGGGAAGCACGCTACCCGCCCCTGAGTCCTCATTTGTAACTGGGAGCACTGTACTTCACCGCCACTCGGTGGGAACGTGAATTTTGTACGGTTCCTTTGAAAACCTAATAATGTCGCTTTTTAGTATTACACAATATACGAAGTAGTCTCGTGACAGAAAAGAGCAGGACACAGCCATTCACATTTTCTTGACCGGGGATTAGTGCTTGTCCAGGAAGGACCTCCGTTTCACAGGACACGGCCACCTGCAGCCAGATCTCTCCCACCCCACGCCGCCCGCAGGCGTGCCCGGATGCTACATGGCTGTGTTTTCTATAGGTAAAAAGCCACCAGTGGTTAGAGGTGAGGGGTACCGTAGAGTAAATGTGCAATACTGGACTTTTACTTTGGATACAGCTAGCAATGTATTTGGTTACGACTTCATTTTATAAGAAATAACTGACATTGTTTAAAATAAAACTTTATAAATCCATTTGCCCGAAAAAGACTAGAAGGATAAGACAGTCTTGTATATAAAACTTGCCTTTTGATTCCTCGATCAACTTAGTGCTACTTTTTTCTCCCCTCGAAACCGACAATTTGCTCAAATTATTTTATGGCCAAAATGCAAAACAAAACAAAAACAAAGTTCTAATTTTTACTTTGAATTTGATTACGTTTTCGTATTGAAACTGCCAACGGTTCTTGCCAGGCTCACCATGGCCTCTGTAAGTCTGGCAGATTGTTCACCTACTTCACAGAAGTGACAACTCGATACCTTGACCTCTTTAAAGAAGAAGAGGGTGGTGACATGTTTTGTTCTGCTAAAATTATCAGAGATCAGTTTAAGAGAATTTACCACGGACACGGTGACCTGAGATCACGCTGACAAACTCCCTTTGTCACCGATATCACCACCCCGGCAGTGACTCCGGTGTCCCCGACAAGGATCGTTCTGGATCAGCAGGGAGCTGGCGTGTAACGTGCTCTCAGACGTGAGCAGGCTGTGTGCACACACGCAGACGGAGGACTGCCCAGTTACACTGAGAATGAGTGTGAGTTGGAGGATGAGATCTGGTCGTATCTTTCCTGAAATTCAGAACCACGAATATCCCTGGACATGTCAGCCTCCTAACAAATGTCGAGCAACCATTCTCTCTTATCCGCCATCGCTACGAAAACACGCAGCACGACCGAGTTTTGCAGTCTAGCCACGGTGTTGGTGCATGAATCCCGGCGCATACGCAGAGAAGCGTGCCAACCCGACGACAGCCAGAATCCGGGGGATGCCCGCCTCGCGCCCTCCTCACCTCGGCAAATCGGCCGATGGTCGCTCCACGCAGCCAGTGTCCCCGTGACTCTCTGACAGGTTATGCTTTTGGATCCCTGGAGCACGTAATTGTCCTCGCAGGAGAACTGCACGTTTGCACCAACCCTGAATAATTACAAAACAGAAAACAGCCCCAGTTATTCACGGAAGACGTCTTTAACGAAAGCGCAGCGCTGCCCTTGTGTGACGGCCTCAGCCGAGAGCAAACGTGAAGCTGCCCCACAGATCACTCACGGGGACAGCCGGGGGACGCGAAGCGGGGGACGGTCACAGGCCTGGGCGCCGACCTGTTCTGCCGACTTCGTGGCTAAATAAATATGTGAACCTTAACGTGTCCTCTCTGAAACAGAGACAATAACAAAGGTGGCCTGTGTGTGGTGGCTTAAGCGAGAAGATGTCATTCCACGTGAGTAAATGTTTTACAGAAACAGGCTGAAAAAGGCCGGGTTAAAAAAAGGCTCGGTACAAGGAAAGCAAGAACTGCCTGGCTCCCCTTCCGCCGGGGACCCCCATAGTCAGATGAGGTGCATTAAATCCGAGGGCTGGCGGGCCTGCCGCTCCGAGAGGGCATCCGACGTGTCTTCCACCTGACAACCCCGCGGCTGACGCCGATGAACACGGGCGTGAAGGAACGAGAGTCGCCCCCATCAGGGAGAAAGTTAATAGCAAATGGGGGACATTAACGGATGCTTTTCTTTCCTGATTATTGAGACATTCTCTACAATATCAGAGTGACTGTCATCCAGGTAGCATTACACAGACGCTCCCCACATGTCCGTACAACGCTTTCTCTAGGGAAGGTCGCGGATATCGGTAAAATTCGTCAAATCGGGGTCAGAGCGATCGGAAGCCTTCTGGAGTAAACCAAACTGAGCGTGCTCCGTTTCTAGAGGGGCCTCTCGGCTTCCTGAAGCGTAAGCCGTGCGAACCGCCTGGACCGCTCAGGCGTGTCAAGTGCGCGGTGGCCCGAACCTCCCGCTCTGCGAGGCCTCCCACTGAGTGTCGCCGGCAGGGGCGCCGCACGGCAGGAATCCCGCAAGGCACTTCGCTTGGCGCCTGATGCGCATTATTTTTGAAAGCGATAAGTGTACAAACCAGAACGTCGACACCATTGCTATCGTCAGTCGTTACAGTGATTTAAGGCAGCTATAGTTTTTAGACATCTCCCTTCGTAATTTCTTTCCCGCTCATGTGTCTTTGCTTAAACCCCCAGAACTACATTAAATACATAAAATAAACATATATATTTTGTTTTGAAAACAACTCTTATCTGTCCGTATTCTCTATGCCAACCTTCAGTTCATTCCATTTACCTAAATTTCAGTTTTCACATTTTCCATCGTCCTTTTAGTTCATTTTTATCGAACGCACAGCGTGTGCCACACTCTATTCTGGGCACCAAAGGTATAGAAGCTAAAAAGACAAAGTCCCACGTCATGGAGATAACAGTCTATTCAAGGGAGGAACAAATGCTCAGGAGGCACATCAAGCATGAAGAAAGCCAAAGAGTGTCGTCAGTGCCATTCAGAAGGTAAACCAGAAGGTACAATTCATGATGGCTGAGGGAGAGCTGGCATGGAGAGTCTGCCTTTTTTATGGCCCTCTGGAACGGAGGTGCTCATGCACAATTTCCGGGTGTGGTCAAGTGTAAAGACTGACCAGTGGAGTCACCACCCCCTTCGGCGACCCTACGCTTCGGGGGCGGGCGCCCCCATATGCCAGAACCTCTGTCTCCTCCACGTGGCTTCCCACACGTGCAGTCGAGTTCCCCTGGATGTGCTCAGCGAAGTGTAGGAAAGTACTAGAACCTGAATCTTATCACCACTATCTGACAACACGACTTCATTTCTGACTATGAAATATATATTCATCATCCCAAATATTGGAAAATATGGCCAGAGTTGTGTTTTGGAAGCTATGACAGGGTCCGATAATAGAATCGTAGTCAACTACATCAGGAAAAATAGGCACAAAACTATTTTTAAAGCAGTAATATCATCGCGAGCACACTTTGCTTTCCATGTTCCAATAATTGTATCGCTTCTGATTTTATTACTTTATAATTTAAATTTTAAAAAAAATCTTTAAAACCCTACTAGTAAAAGTGCTTACTTCAACTGTAGGCTGGAAAACAGAGCCGCTCACAGGGGAGATCACCCCAACAGCAGAGCGAGAGGTGGGCTCCGCATTGCGATGAACCAGGCTAAGGTCGAAAAAACGAGTAATGACTCGATTTCCAATTGAGTATTTTAATCTTTTGCTTTGGTTTTACCTAGCAGATAAATCAGTTCAATTTAAAATCCATGCACACTTTCAACTTCAAACGAATAAAAAACTAAATTTTCATTTATGATTTAATTTTATGATTACTATATTTGAAGTTACATGTATAACATGAGGAAATGTAATTTGGTTTTCTGAAAAGTACTCAGAAGAAAATTTCGGGAATAAAGGAAACTATTAATACCTTCCCACTGGCAAGTAAATTTAGAAAAGCTTAGATGAATTATGTTGTGCAATTTTGACGATTGGTAGTAGTTGGAAACTGTAAGAAATAACAGAAAACTAACTTTATGTAAGATCAAAATATATTGTATATAGATGATAAATATCCAAATGGTAAAATTTAAGTTAAACGTTTAAAACAACGTACTTTTGTGCTTTAAATAGAGTAGAATGGGGAAAAATCACATTTTTTTTTTCTGCTCCTTCAATGCTTAGCACTTCTGAAAAGCTCTTCATTCCACTGTGAATTCTATAAACATTTCATTTTTCACTGTCTACTAGACTTTACCTACACAGTTTGAAGAACCTTTCTACGTGAATGAACTATTTCTTAATATGGTTTCATTCTAAAATGAACTATTTCTAAATACAGTTTTCCTAGATAATGACTCTCTGTGCATTCATTGAAGGCTGGCACTATAACTTATTTCTCAAGAAGAAAAAGAAACGCTGGCATTGCTTAGATTAAAGTAGAATCCCAAATAACGTGCGGGGTGTTTTAGCTGTGATGTCCAACTATCCGCTAATGAGCAGAGGTCACACCGACGGCCGGACAGAGAACCCTCATCTTCCTGCAGCCGACACTGGTCAACGCCTTTCGAGTCTAACGAAGCAGCCAACTTCCCCATTCCCCACTCAGAGCTGTCAAAACGGTCACCGATGGAGTGGTAAAAAGACAGACAGATAAGCTGCATCTTTGTTCTAAAAAAATATCCAGTTCAAACATCACACTTAAAGATTCATAAATGCAAAAGGAATCCAAATGATTTTGAGGCACCGCATGTGGGCATTTAAACATTCTGCGTCTCCAGCAAAAAGAAAAAATACATTATACTGTTTTCACTCTAAAGTAACTGAAAACACAAAAATCAGAACAGGTAACTGTTCTTTAGATTTAAGCTCAAGCCAGCACTTGCCATATTTGTCCTTTTAAAATAAGCACGAATGAAATATGGAAATTTTATCTGGAACCAAACTTTATCAAAGATTTAGATTTTTTGCTTAAATGAGCTATTTTCTTGAGAACAAGGGACACATAGCGGGATAATATATAAAGTGTTATAGGATATGTGTATCTATGTGTATGTGTTTTTGTGTGTACGCGTGTACACGTGAGTACCTGTATATGTATGTATGTGTATGTGTATATGTGTATGTTGTGTATATGTGTTGGTAAGTATATGCGTATGTGTGTACATTGTATATATGTATACATGTGTATGTGTATATACCTGTCCGTGTATGCATATGTTTATCTGTGTATATGTTTATGTGTATGTATATATATATATATGTACGTGTGTATGTGTATTTGTGTGTCCATGTATATATGTGCATGTGAGTGTATGTGTGAGTATGTATGTGTGCGAGCATGTGTATGTGTCTCTGTGCATGAATGTGTGTATATGTGTGCATGTGCATGTGTACGTGCATCTCTGTATGTGTGTGTAAATATGTGCATGTATACACATGTGCAAGCATTGCGTTCTGTGTGTGAATATGTATGTGCACACACGTGCCTACGTGTATCTCTGCATGGGTGTATGTGCATGTGTGCACATGTGTGAGCATGTGTGCGAGCGTGTGCAGGCATGGGTATGCACACCCGTGTTTTACCGACCCCCCAAGGATCCTGGGTCTGGCAGGGCACAAGTTAAAGTCGCAGCCTTCCATATTCGAAGCGCCGCCCGTCAGCCCTGAAACAT